CCCCTGTTGTAAAAGCTGTGATTAGGGCTAAGCACCAGAGCTCTGAAGCTAAAGTCTGGTATGTCTGTGGAGAATGTACACAGCATTCTTTGGCTTCTGTAATAGGCACATGTTACTTGCAGGCTTAGAAAATAGATTTGGGGGATAACAGCTCAGAAACATTTTATAGAAAAGATGCATGCTCATCATCTAGTAGATAGACAGTAGGAGACCCAGGAATCTGGTACTTGCCCAAGGTGGTGTTTTCGTTCTAGTGAAAAGTCCTCCCTCAAAATAACAGATTGTGTAATTGAGGGTTAATCCACCAAATCTCTAGCTTCCATTCAGTGAAACACACATTCTAAACTTTTGATCTTAAAAGTTCATCTAATAATATACCTCTTGTTCCTTTAGGACTACTTCCAGATCATCTATAGTTTACCATGTCATCTTTAGTTTATGGTGGTCCTTCTGCATGCACAGAACTATTTAAAGCAGTAGTCTGTATGTTTGATCTTGTTTAAGATACACAAAAACATTTCACATTCATAAATTTGCCTGTGATGTTTGTGATCATTAAGATCTTGGGTTCTTCAACCAGTTTTGCCGTTCTGCCAGTTGCTAATTGCCACGCCTCACAAATTTTGCTTGAAGGCTACTCTAATTTTATTTATGTTTCTGTGATAAAATGTTCTGATAAGAGGCTACTTTGGGGAGAAAAGTGTTAAGTGGCTTAAATTCCTTGTTACAGTCCATCAGTGAAGGGAAATCAATGCAGGAACTTATACAGCTAGTCACATCTGAAGTCATTAGAAGAGAGATATAAACATATATAGGTTAGCTTACTTTCTTGATCTGTACTAACTTTCTCCTGGCTTACAATGTTCACAACCTCTTGCTTGGTAATGGTGCCATCTACCATGAGATGTTTCTTCCTATATCAATTAATGAAGACAATTTCTAACATAACCTAGATTATATCTCATTAAGATTCTTTCCCCCGTGATTCTAGGTTATGTCATATTGACAGCTAAACCATCACAAAGACTCTTGAGACACTTCATACATCTATAAAATAGGGATCACGTTTATTTCATTGAGTTGTAGGAATTAAATCCTGAGTTGCCTGTTTGTCCCACAGTGTGTGGTAAATGGTTATTGGGCTATTATTGTTAGTAGGTGTTATGTTTTATTAAACATTCTAATTATCACTATCATTTATCTATTTGTTCATTTTTATAGTTTGCTTAGGAGTCCTATGAGGGCCGCAGGAACAATGGCAATGATAATATTTGTTTTATGATATGACTATGGAGGCATCCATATAACAAAACCAAGCGACTTCTCAAAGACTTGTAGCTTCTGAATGCATCCCTGAACTCACATCAACACTTTTTATTTCATTTAATTTTGTGTATGTGTGCACATATGTGTGTGGAATGTTTATGTGAGTTTGTACCTGGTACACATACCTGTTGACCACAGATGGGCCAAAGCTGTCTTCCTCTATTGCTCTTCACTTTATTTTTTGAGACAAAGTCTCTCACTGAATCCAAAGCTTCTTATCTTGACTAGACTGGCTGGGCAGCAAGCCCTATGGATCCTCCTGCCTCCACTTCACCAGTGTTTGGGTTGTAGATTTTCACACCTAAAACCATATTTTACAAGTAATATTTTTACTTATTCCCTGACGATTTCTTACACACATAAGGAGATTTTGATCAGATTTACAATGACTACCTCCCTGCAACTCCTACTCTCCAGATCCCCCCAACATACCTCCCTCCAAGCTGCATGATCTCTTCATTTTATTATTATTATTATTATTATTATTATTATTATTATTATTATTATTATCCCTTGATTCCAATTAGAGCTGGCTATATGGGCATGTGTGTCCATTCACTGGGGCACAGGCACTTCATCATTTGTCCCATTCCCGGAGAAAAATGATTGACTCCTGATCTTTTAGCAGTCACCACCTGCCAGTAGCTCCTCCACTTTCAGTAGGCCTTGGGAATCCTTCCCCCTTTAATGGTTGATCTTGTGAAAGTCTTGTGTAGACAACCATAGCTGCTGTGAGTTCCTGTGTACAGCAGCCCCGCCCTGTCCAGAAAACAGCCTTTTAAAAACCTTTCCCCCACCCTCCAGCTCTTACATTTGCTCCACCCCTCCCCTTTGATGTTCCCAAGCCTTGGATGGGGAAAAGCTGATTCCATCTGAGGCTTAGTTCTCACGTTTATCCTCAGGAGTTTGACCAGTTACTACTCTATGTATTAACCATCATCACTGCAAAATTCAGCTTCTCTAGCTAAGACTGACAACAGCATAACGCTGTGGATGTAAGCATAAATATTGAAAATGCATGTTGAAAATGCATGTTGATGACTTGACTATTTAGTGGAAAAAAGGTAAATCCTCCTCTAGGGCCTTTAACATCCCCAGTTATGGCCTTTGGGACCGATTTTCAGTACTAGGTATGAATTCCCTCCTGTGGAGTAAGCCTCAAAACCATGGATATGGAAATGCCAGAGTTACAAACTCACTTCTGTTTGATTGGCAAATATTTTTTCAACCAAACTATCTATCTTCTCCATATAGTCTGTCCCTTATGCTATTGCTATTTTAATTTCTCTCTCTCTCTCTCTCTCTCTCTCTCTCTCCCTTCCCTCTCTAATTTTGGTTCCTGACCATAGTCATTTACATAAATCTCAGAGTCATTAGCATTAGCCTTACTTTGCTAGGTGAGACTTGCCATTGACTCTCTGGCTGTATAAATGCCCAGGTCACCTCGGTGCTTGGACACAATCCTACAGGCCCTCACTTATGCTGCTTCTTTCTCCTGAGTGAGGTGTTCCATTTTTTCTTTCTCTCTTGTCATCTCATCTGTCAGGGAAATTTACCAACTTGCTGTGATTGTTTCACAGTCCATTTCAGAGTGAGGATGATCTCAGAAAATTGCCTCTGTCCACAGTAAACACATCATCAGTTATTTAAACCAGGTTCTCTCTCACCCCCACTCTAATTGACAGACTGAATACTGAGAACCTCTTTTCCTGTTCTTTTCCCATTGCTATGAAACAAAATTGAGCATCAGTAGATGACTGAGTGAATGCTAATGAGGTTGATGTGCCAGAGAGAAGGAAAACCAAGATTTTTTTACCCAAACATGGAAAATCAGCAGGCATAATGCAATGCTGGCATGAACAACCCCATTTTATGCCTGTCTGACCAATCTCAAGGCCACATCAGTAACTACACCTGATAAATCTAACTAAAGATGCCAAGAAAATCAGCACAATGAAAATGGGGAAATGAGCACCACTGTCATCAGTATTGTTGTTACACTTGTACCTCTCTTGAAAGACAGACCCCTGGGAATTTCTATTGAAAGGCAGATGAATTTCTCCTGCATACCAAGAAACAGTTTGCCAAGGAAAGCTGAGCAGAAGCCTCCCTCTCGTCATGCGCACCACCCACATCACCTCATGAAGGGATCATATTCTGGTGTGCAGTATGTGATAGCCTTAAGTACATAATTCAAGTTGCCTATTTAGAAAGCCTCAAGGTGATTCAATACCTCTTACTCTTCAGGTTCCTTTCTGCAAAATGTTTTAAAAAAGAAAAAAATGCCAACCAAAGAAAAAATATACTGTCTACCTTAAAGAGAGTGAAGAAACTTTCTTGAGTTTGTGTGGCACTCTAAGAAACTACATTTTAAACACTTAATACTTGCTATCTTTCTATAAGGAGGGAAAGGTTTTATTGGTTGGCTCACAGAGTCATTCTTATCTATCTCCAACACAGATTTTAGTGATTTGGAATGATCTTAATCTAACTTTATCACCTCTATGCCATTTATTGTTCAGGTTGTTTGTGAACAAACAAATAACAGAAACCAAATGCGTTTGCAGTTGGGGTCAGATATACTTGGTTGTTTAGATACAAATTTTGTTTCTGTTACTAAGTAAAAGTCATGGATGTGTTACTGAACTTTTTTCTACCTGATTTTCCTTAGCCATAAATAGTGAATGACTCTCACTTCCATATGTCTGTATAATCTGAATCTACACTAAGAAATAGTTATTGAGTCCTTAATGTTGTGTTGTAATTTGTAGCTTTCATATTAAAACGTTTTGTTGAAGTTTAGTGTGGTGGCAAATCTTTAATCCTAGCACTGGGGAGTCAAAGGAATGTCTCTGTGAGTTCAAGGCCAACCTGATCTACATAGTGAGTTCCAGACCAGAGAGGGCTATATAGTGAGACTTCTAATAATATTTTGTTGAATGAATTAGTTTTAAATCCTGAGTAATTATGATGACAAGCACTTTAATGATGACTGTATAATATATAGAGAGTAAGTCTTTCCTGGTTATAAGAGATGATAAGTTCAGGCGACATATTTGTGGTTGCTAAGAGTCTTAGCTGGGGTCATCCTTCGAGATTGCTGGGAGTTTCCCTTACACCAGATTTCTCCCACAAAGCCCCCCTTTTCCAGTCAGCTCTTTCAGTGCTCTCTCCCCTCACCTGCTACCTCATATTCTATCCCCAACCACCACCAGTCCATTCATAAGATCTCTTCTATTTTCCCTTCCCAAGGAGATCTCAGTGTCTTCCTTGGGTGCTCCTTTTTATTTAGCCTCTCTGGGTCTGTGAATTGCAGCATGACTATCATTTACTTTATAGATAATTTATACTTATATGTGAATACATAATGCATACCATGTTTATCTTTCTAGTTCTGGGTTACCTCACCCAGGATGACTTTTTTTTCTAGTTCCATTTATTTACCTTTGAATTTCATGATGGTATTATTTATAACAGCTAAGTATACTCCATTGTGTAAATGTACAAAATCTTTATACATTCTTCAGTTGAGGGATTCCCATAGTTATGAAGATGATACGACTTACACAACTTGTAAGACTATGTAAACTCTTTTCTTTGGTGATTTTTAAACTTTGACATGAAATATGTGGATAAGGGTAAATTAATTTTCTCTTTCTTCTGTGATTATTTAGACTCCAGAAGAGCTTGAAGATGATTCTGACTTTGAGCAAGAAGATTATGATGTGCGTAGTCGGACAAGCGTTCAGACTGAGGATGACCAGCTCATTGCTGGGCAGAGTGCACGGGTATGTAGACATACACCACTTTGGATAACTGCCCAGGAAAGAAACTCACACATGACTGGAGGAAATTTCTCAATCGGTGTTGGGAGTCCAGATATCTTTGGTTCAGAAGTGTGGGCTATTACTTGGGTGGTCTGTGGCACTGCACACTTTTTTGTGGTGGTAGCAACCACCACTGCTTCCAATTCCTTTTAACCCATCCAATAAATGAAGAATTAGAGTTCTCCTTTGTTACTGGCTTTATAATTGCCCTTTAGTTTTGGGTAGATTTGATAGCAAAGATCACCTTGACTCAAGGGTATTAAATCTTAGGTTCTCTTTTATGCCTACCTGTTCCTGGGGCCAAGTGCTTTGCTAAGTGATAGAAGGAAGTTTCACAAATGTTCATTAGTTTTAAGTTTAAGGAATTAACCAAGCACAAAATATAATAGATTTGTCAAGCTGATGAACACTTGATGGACTGGTTAATAACACAAGTAGTACAACAACAACCCACAACTGGGCCAACAATTGGAAATGTGAAAACAAAGTAGAAAAATAACAAGTTAAGAGACTAAAATAAAGAGGACTAAAACAAAAAGGAAATGTGTTCAAAATGACTCTACTTAAAACCCAGTTTCTCTAATGTACTATAGACTTTAATATCTTAGTTCTAACATCAAACTAATGAGAACATATACATGCAGATTGTTAATAATTCAGACACCACTGGCACAATGGTGTATAGTGGCACACAAATTATACTTTGAGAGGAAGAGAAGAGAATTGTGAGTTCAAGAGTAGCCCTGGCAAAATAGTAATACTCTATGCCAATAGCCAGGGACTGAGGATATTGCTCACTGGTAGAATGCTTGCCTGGCATGGATAAGGCCTTTACTGATCAGAGGAAGAGAAAACACACTGGCTGTGATTTCACACAACTTTGGTTTTGATCTATAAAAGCCAATGCCTGTAGCACTTTGAGAGCTATGTATTATTTTTCAAATGTGAACCATAGACTTCCTTGACAGCATTATTTTGAGAATTACTTGATCTTTATGGAATATAGTACAACATTTGCCTTATAGTAAATGCTCAATAAAGTCTAGCTGTGATCATTATCCTCCATTAGAAGAGAAGGTCCCTTCTGACCAAGGATAGTGACATCAAAATGTATGAAAGGGCATAGAACCTCCACTGAAAATTCCGCACAGATGAATCTTGCCTGAAACATTCAAAATTGGGAAGGTCATTAAGCAAGAATCTTTTGTCTGTTGGCATACCACCAAACTAATTAATCAGGCCAATTCATCTTTAAAATTAAGTAAAACCAGCATTTTTATGTCAATGACAAAGGACAAGTTTGAGTAATTCTTCCAAACACTAATCAATCCCAAGTTAATTTTATTGACTGACTCTAGCCCTGGTTCCACTGATTTGTGTCCTCAAAGAATAAGATACACTATAGAAGCCTCATCTTGCTTTGAGATTGCCATCTTGTGAAGATGGCCTGAATAGTTCACATTCAACAAGATTAGACTCTGGATATATTACTCTTTCACACTAGTTTTTACTTTAGACATCAAGTCAGTGATGATGGATAGAAACAAAGTTTAGATGGCTCTTCTTGATCATCATATCTTTATTCTGGTGTCTATTTTCAAGTGAAATATGATCAGGATCCAAGAGTATAAGAACCAGGTTGTCTCTCTGCCACTTGCTGATTTGTTTTGAATGTCCATCCCATATTATGGATCAACTTTCAGCCAGCAGTTTTACTTCTTATGTCAGCCTCAACCATGGTATTATGGCTGCTAAGGTGGGAATAAAATGGCATATCAAAGGCAATAGATGCTTGAACTTTGGACCAGCAGTGCCTGACTTACTTCAGAACCGTGAAGGAAGTCAACATTGTGTTGAGCTAGGAGTTGGGACTTCCAAGCTGTCTCTACTGAAAATGGCGGTATTTTTTGTTTTTATTCAGAAAAATATTCCTCTCTGAAAATGACAAGCAAAAGAGCAGCAGAGGCAAATGTAATGACACTTGGAAAATGGTAGTGTTTTTGGTAGCTTCCCAACCAGATGATTCAACGTTGAAAAACTGGATTATCCAAGGAAGTATTGTGGGAGGGTTTGCTTACGTCAATGGAAGGAGTATCTCAGTTTTCCAATTCAAACAGTAAGACTGGAGGTCAAAGTACCCAGCTGCTTAACTATTTACTTTGGATATTCAGCTTTAAAAGCAAGTGTGGAGAAATATCCCCTTGAGTTTTTATTCCTTTTATAAATTTTCTTGCACTTGAAGCCCTTGTAATGAATTCTGTCCTTTGCCCCAGAAAGTGATTCTTGCCAGTTCATGGACCCTTGCATTTTAAAGGTGGACACTGGGACACATACCTGGAGATTTAGGTTGAAGAAGAGTTTTGATGCCTTTGAATGGCTGCTATTCTGTATCAGTATGTGCACTTTGAACTCAATAGGAAGAATTTATTAATCACAAAAAATAAATGTCAAGAACAAGGGCAGGGAACCCAGGAAAAAGGTCCTTTTGGATTCTGGGCTCTGATGTTCTCGGTTTGGAACCGAAATCAGCCAGATGTACAGCCTGGGGAACTGTGTGTGTCTACTATGGATTGAGGCTACAGAAAGTAGCAGGAGCTTCTGGTGATCACATCACAGGAACAGGAAAGCTAATTGTATCCTTTCCCCCTGGCTATGGAAATCATTTTTCTCATGTTGCCTTAGTTTGAAGGAATGAACAATTATATGTTGTATATTTCACATTGAATTTGATTTTAATGTAGCCAGCCTTCTATTTTTTTTTTTTTTACTTAGAATGGCTTTAATGTGTTAACATTTCAAACTGCTGAGTTACATTGATAAGACCTAATTAAAACTCATGTGTTGAATTTTAATTTGATTAACTTGCAAATTTTGCAGTTGTGATCTACTGTTTATAGATAACCTTTTTTTAAATTCCAGTTTCAGAAAAGGTCAATAATGAATTTTTAAAAGCCAAGAGCATTTTAAGAATATTCAAGAAAAGCCTTGAGCTCATCGACATCTACAGAGCAGCAGAGGCAAATGTAATGACACTTGCACTTCAGTCACACCCCATTAAATACATTATGTGGATCCAGCACCCCTCCAGTCAAAATAACACCTCCTTCCCTTGCAAATCTGCTTTGAAGCGGGCAGTCTTTCCTCTGGAATGTGTCCTCAGAAAATGCCTGTCATTTCTGGTGACTTCTCTTGAGTGACATTGATGCTCTGAGCAGGAAGATGTTCAAACTATCTGTCAGAGGACACTTAGCTTCTGCTCTGAGCTGGAAGTCAAGGGCTCTACTTCTGGCAAGCAGTCCTGGGAATCAGAGATGGGGCAGCAATGTAAATTATAGAACAAAGGGCTAGAGGGCTGGAGGGCTGGAGGGCTGGAGGGCTGGAGGGCTGGAGAAATCACTACTCCATTAAGACTATTTGCTCCTCTTCCAGGGGACTTAAGTTCAGTTCCCCACACCCATGTTGGATGCCCACAAGTTATTGGATCTCTAGACTCAGAAGGATCCAATACCTTCCCTGGCCTCTGCAGGAACTTCTACATAGTTGTACAAAGCTGCACCAGACACACACATACAAATAATTAAAAGCAAAATAAAATAAATTGCTTACAAAAGTTAGAGAGTGGCAGGTATGGTGCACATACTTTCAGTTCCAGGACTGGGGAGGCAGAGGCAATGATCTTTGTGAGTTCAAGTCCAGCCTGGTCAACATAGTGAGTTCCAGGACAGCCAGGCGTATATAGAAAGACCTGTCTTAAAAAGAAAACAAAAACAAACAAAAATTTAGAAAGAAGACTAAGGTCATTGATTTTTAAAAGCTAATTTAAACAAAGGAGATTCAAATGTTATAGTTGACAGGAAAGTGCCCAGCCTCCAATGCACACTTTTACTGTTTTGTGGATGAAAGTCAGCTTATTGTTTACCATTTGGGCCTGGATTGTACAGTCTACAGTCTACTAGTCATCCTACTGGTTTTTGTATTTTATAGATAGGCAGCCAGTGGACAAATTTAATAATCGTTCCTAAGATTTGTGCTGCCTAAATAAAACATGAGTATCTCTTTTGTGTGAAGAAGCTGGGTGAATCAAAGAGATAGGAATACTTCAGAAAAAAAAGTACATATTTAATTTCTGTCAGTTTAAGCCAAATAAGAAATTCAGTATATTCTTTTTAACATGGAACTACAAATAAAAGTTTATCAAGGCTCTTTGTATACTATGAATCTTAAGTTTATAGACGTACTTTAAAATGTTTCCAAACATAGAATGTTATACATTTTAACTAGCATATTTCTATCAGTCTTGCTTCTCCTTTATGCAAACATAGAGACACATACTAAATGTCATTCATGTGTACATGCATTGAAGTGAGTTTTAATTTACACAATATAAATCTATGCTCTCTAAAATTTCATGTATGTATGCATGAACGTTTACTGTAAGTCTGTGAAAAGGTATGTCATCCAGATTCCCATGAGTCTAAGCTAACATTTTTTTGACCTATAAGCATAAGGGTACAAGGCTTGCTAGGCAGAACTGAGCTTTCAACTGCCTTTGTGTCACTGGGCTGAGGTCTTCATACAAATTATATGTGGCTGTATGGTGATGATCTTGTACACAGTTGTGAAGCTGGTTGTTGGCCTATCACCTTGGTTTGACTTCTCATTCTCCAAATTATGAATTATCTTGAACTAGGGATTTAATTAATTTACTTGGGTCTAGCTACTATTGTTATTAAATATGGATAATTATATTAAAATAGTTACATAGATTAAATTATTTGGTACACATAAATCTCAGACACATATAAGTTTGCAGGGAATTATATGTGTATTATATATATATGTGTATATACAGGCCCTGGGACATTCAAGTTATTATTTTATAATAAGGGTAAGTAGAAAGCAATCTAATAACAGAAATGATACCAGAATAGTGTGCACATAGCACAATGTTGGCTTATAATTTTCATTATGATGCTGTGATTAAAACACTGACTAAAAGCACCTTAGGGGATGGGAAGGTTTTTTTGGCTTAAAACTGGATCCTAGTCCAGCCCAACACTGAAGGAAGTCACAGCAGGAACTTGGAGACAGTCCTGTTTGCTATTATTCACTTTCTACATATGACCAATAAACTCACTCCATAGCCTGGTAAGTGGAAGCCATGGAAGAGGCTATTCGCTATTTGGTCCATTAACAGGCTTATTCTCAGATAGTTCTTGTATACAGTCTGAACCACTTACCTAGGAATGGCTTCACCCACATTTGTTTGGGCCTTTTTATCAATTATCCAGACAACCTTCACAGCATGCTTACAGGCCAATATAATTCAGGCAATTCTTCAACTGTGACTCTACTCAGCCAGAGGACTTTAGGCTGCATCAATTGGGCAGATAGACCCAACAGGAAAAACTTCCTTTCACTTCTTTTTGTGGAATAAAAAAACAGGCATCTCAAATAACTTCAGTTACTCATGTTACAAACATTAGAACCCCCAATCACACAGCTTTGGTCTCTCTTTGGAGAATTTATGTATCCCAGGACTAAGGAAGAAGCTAAAGAGCTATCCAAAGACCACTTCTGTGAATCATTTTGCAGAATGGGAGAATATCACACAGTAAGGACAAACATTTCACTTGGAACATGCTACAAAAGTAGTGTTTAAACAACAAGTTTCATTCTTATAGTAGTTATGTTCTATAAGTCACTCATGAATATTTTAGTAAGCAATTACCTAATTTTTGCTTATAAGAGAAATACAGGGATAGGTTGCTGAGAGATGTAAATTACAATGTGTTTTCTTCATCTGATCAGCACATTACCATATTTCAAGGGTGTTTCTGTACAAATACCTTATAGTGTTGATCAGTGACATTGAACACAAGCAAACAACACTAATGCATGACTCCATGTAGCCTATCTAGCTCATGTTATTTTTTCCAAGAGACAAATAATAGCCTTCTTATGCTTAAGGACACTTGACACCATGCCTAGGAACTATTTTGCATGGGGGTATCACCAGTACAAACAGTACAAAGATTTGAAAAATGTAGCACTAAGTAGAAGGGAAAATGGATACTTGTTTCCAGTTGGAGAGCTGATTGAAGGCAGAGGATGACTTTGTTCAGCATCATCTGGGAATGCACACATTGGTGACTCAGAGTTTTGTACCTCTTGCAACATTTGCAAGCGACTGAAGAAGTGCTTCAAGTATTGATTTGGGGTTTACAAATATATTTAAAAGAATCAGCAAATTTGCAAATGAAGAGTCTGTGAAACAGCAAGAAGACTCCTTCACTTTTTTCCACATTCCCTTACCAAGCAACTTCTGCAAATCAACCTTTGCTTTCTAGTCTCGTTCAGCTCCAGCAGCCCCAATCTCTGAAAATCTGAGCACCCAAGTGCTCTGACACTTGAAACACACAGAATATTGATGTTAAGCTCAACATTGTTTCTTTTTCATATTTTTTCAGTATCTGGGACTTTTGGATTAGAGACATTTTCCCAAGTTTCAATGTTTTCTGTGTAAGCACCTTGGATATGGGATAGCAGTCTGGACTTCCATTTCAATGCCTATGTGAATTCAAAGGTCCTCCAAAGAACCTTGCTCATTCAGGCATCCAGGAAGATGAGGGAAGAAGGCTAACATGGAAGACATTATCCCCAAAATTTCCTAATAAGGGAATAAGTTTCTTGTTTGTATGTCGGTTTTCAATTGTTGTCTTCATTTTTACTCAAAAAAAGTCTTTCCATCCCACTCTACTTGGATGCTCAAATATTGTTTAAAATTCCTTTCCTTCCCGGCAACAGAAGGATTTTTTTTCTTTTTCCCTTCTCTAAATAGCTTTCAATGTTGAAAGAGGTGCATTCTTTCATCTGGTAAAAGTTTCCTGAGACCAAATATAAAAATTGTTAAGAATAGATTCTTTTGAACAAACATATGCCATCAAAGAGACAGGGAAGTTCTGCTACTGTCAGTGTGCCTGCACTTTTGGATATCTCTGTATCATTTATATAATGGAGGGAGGCAGGGGACTGGAGGACCTGGCCAGCCTGTCTTCTTGGCCTGGCTGCAATGGAGAAGACATGTATCTTTAGAATGATGAGGCATCCTATAAGCCTTGTCAGTCTTTCTTTGCCATCCACAGGAAGCAGAGTTAACATGCAGTTCTTAATTCCTTCATCACCATTAGTCATTCATGCTTCTCCCCCTATAACCCACACAGGCCATCATGGCTCAACTACCACAGGAGGAGAAAGCAAAAATAGCTGAGCAGGTGGAGATTTTCCACCAAGAAAAAAGCAAGCTGGATGCTGAAGTGGCCAAGTGGGATGACAGCGGCAATGATATTATTGTGCTGGCCAAACAGATGTGTATGATCATGATGGAGATGACAGACTTCACAAGGTGAGACCCAGAGATATGGAGATGTCCATGTTCTTGCTAAACCCACGTGTGTGGCACTGGTTATTCGCAGGAAAGTCCAATGAAATGTTAAAGTTCTATACCAAAGAAAGGTGGAGCTCCTAGTATTTACACTTACAAGGCAAAGTGTTCTCCTGGAAAAGGAGAGCAGATTCATTCTTTCGTAATTATCATTGTTTAGTCATCTATCATAAAGCAATCATAACAACATAGCCCAAGGGTTAGGTCACTCACTTGTGTTCTGTACTGGGTTTAAATATGTGTAAGTACTATTCTGAAGATAAAGTGAGTATTTTGTTAATTTTCTGTTGGAAAGATATGTCCATGCTTTTATGTACATGTATTTGTATCATGTGTGTGTTCTAACAGCACACGATTTAACACTGAGTTTGGCTCATATTTCATGCTAATGTATCAGAATTTATGTCCAACAGCTGAAGAAGAAAAAATTCTTACCGGGAAATTAAAAATTGTGTGGACATTGTTTCTTTTCCCCCTGAGCAGCCTTTCTCATCTCATAGATTAGGAAGTCTCCAGCATTCTGACAGGAGCCTTTGCTTCACTACAAGTCATGGGTGCTTTTGTCATTGCCTTGGTGTCTTCTTAGGAGGGCAGTTACAACCCTTTCTGCACTTCTGGGTTACATAAAGAGCAATAAGATGCAGAAAACAATCACAGAGGAAAGGCCCCTCAGTTCTGAAGAAGATGAACTGGTATGGAGCAAATCCTTAACTTTCTTCGAAAAGGGGTGGAATACCATTCACAAAATTCTCAGGATCGGATTTACTCCTAAATCAAGATGCAAGTAGGAGCTATCATGGCAAACACATTTAAAGCATCCCACAAGCCTAGTCACAGTCTGTATCTAATTGCTGTGTGTGTGTGTTTGTTCATGGTATGTGCAGATGAATTAAGGCTCATGTGCTATGTCATGTGTGTGTAAGTCAGAGTCCATCTTCAGGTATTGAACCCCCTTTCCACCATCTCTCTCTCTGTCTCTCTCTGTCTCTGTCTCTGTCTCTCTGTCTCTCTCTGTCTCTCTCT